TCCCCCTCCTCCTCCTCCTCCTTCTCCTCCTTCTCCACTCGACTGTCCTCCCTAATTGGCGATAAACATGGACTCTTTCCTCACCATTTCCTGTCCTTCCCGCCTTTCCTTTTTTTCCTTCTCCGCGTTCCCTTCCTGCTTGGTCTTTCTCCACACAATCGTCATTGGTCTCGTCTTTGTTCATGCCCACTTTCTCCTCTCCTCTCCTCTTCTCTTCTCCCCATCCTCAGCCTTCTTGAAATCTTTCAGGACAGTTCAGTCACTGACCTTCATACATCTTTCCCCGAGGTTGCCGCACTGTTCAGCGGGAATGTTGTAGAACGACTAATCGATGTGGATTATCTATCTTCAGCGCAATGCGGTCTAACCATCTAGGCTCTGTCTCACTTCCTATCAAGACGCCGAATCGACCTTATCTCCTGAAACCTTTGCTAACCATCCCTGCATAGATTGTAAAAAGTACACAATCGAGAAACTTGTAGCAACAAGGCAGCCTTAAAAGAAGGAAAAACAAGTCCATTTCCCTGACAGCTTATTGTTTTACAAATTGAAGAATGGTAAATAATAAAGAGGTCTATTCACACGGTCGTCGGCCATGTCCCACTTCCTCAGCGCCATTTGCTTGAAAAAAGGCTATGCCGTCTGCTGTGATGTTTGATTCCCAAAGACTGGTTTTTGTTCGTCCGCCACCTTCTACTCATCATCGTTGTCCGCATTAGTCGTCTCTTGATTCTCCCCCTCGTCCTTCCTTCTCCTCCGTCCTCTCTTTCTCTTTTTTCCCCTTCCTTCCTCCGCCGTGTCCTTCTCGCCGTCTTCAGTCCCTCCTTTCTGCTTCTCCAGACATCCCTGCATCTCATCAATTTCTACTGTCGGCTCCACCAGGTCTGAAAGAATGTCTTCTATATTAGGAATCTCCTCGGAAGGCCCGATCTCCTCGTCCAGAGCAGGTGTATTCTTGCCGAAATCCTTACTACCACTCTCTTCCTTACCCTCGTCAACCCCACCTAACACATCATCCTCTCGAAGGGCTTCCAAAGCCTCCACCAATGCACTAATCGAGTCGTCTTCATCTCTGTATGACTCGTTTACATTTGGTCTTTTCTTCTGCTCATCCTCTTCCTGCCCACTTTGTCTCTCATCAACATGCTCTTCTCCTTTTCTCGTCTCCTTCGGGCTGCCCAGATCCTCCCTCTCCGACACCTTCGACGCAAACATGATACCATCCTCGTTCCCATCCTCTTTCTCATACTTTTTCCGCCGTTCCCTCCTCTCTTCATCCTCCTTCTCTGCACCCATCTTCTTCTGCGATGGCGACTCGACAGCGGGTGTATAGCTCTTTTCGGGGACGGTTGCTTTTTCACTAGAATCATCATCGTTGCTCATGATCGTACCCGCCTCCCCGTCCCTTGGCCATTCCTCCTTCTCTTTCGCCTCCATCTCCCTTTGCTCTGGCCTTGCCTCCTCTTCTACTTGACCGTCCGTTTTAATGGCGCTGAACATAAACTCTTTCCTCATCATTTCATGTCCTTTCCGCCTTTCTTCATCTTCTTCGTTCTCTTCCTCTGTTTGATTTTTCTCCCGACGATCGCCATTGGTTTCGTCTTTCTTCACGCCCACTTTCTCCTCTCCTCTCCTCTTCTCCCCATCCTCAGTCAGCGACGGCTCCGTAAACGTGCATCCTTCAATTTCAGTCACACTTTCGTCAACAACATTCTCGTTCTCAATCGTGTTCACTAGATCAGTCATCTTTGGTAACACCAGGCAATCCTCTGTTGCTGTTGATGGTCCGACCTCCCCTCCGTCCGACTTCTCGACTGATAGCGATCGCGCACTGGGCATACACGTCTCCTTTTCATCATTTTCTGCAATTTCCTTCACCAAGCTTTCTCTTTTCTCGGCCACTATCGCCACCTCTTTCCCTCTTTCATCCCCCTTCTTCATCTGCTTTTCTTGACTCACTGTATCCTGAAGACCATTAAGCAGGCACATCTCTATGGAAGGTTTAATCTCCTCCTCCGAAACGCATGCATTTGGTCGGTTTTCATCCACGTGATCTCTCACGCCATCTGCCGTGGAGGTTTCCTTGCCTCTCCGTCGACCGCGCCCCTTTTCTACTATTTTACCGTCTTCCATCAGAAAAACAGTAGTTGGGTTTTCTGAACCCTTCATTGGACCGGACACCAGGTCTACGAAAGCAATCCTGTTTTCGGCTAAGTTGGTGTTCACTAATTTTGGACAGCTTAGTTGCAGTTTGATGCGTTCAATCCCAGACTGCGTCGGGAGGTCCGGGGATTCGGGTTTCGTGACGTATTTTACTGGATCATTGTCTTCACTGCCTTCCTTCTCGTCAGTGATCGCCTCAGGAATATTCCGACGAAGGCGGGTGTTTTCAACACCCTCACCACTGGATAGTTGATCGTCCAGGGGGAGATCCGTCAGAGAGGACACAGTGCTTCCCGATCCAGTCACAACTACGTCTCTGAGTAGTCCCTCAGCGTTCAAAGAAAGCAAAAAGCAAACCTTTACCTCGTAGACCAAGTTCGCCTTTCGAGCGGCTTCGATAATCAATTCCAGGTCCTTGTCACCATCGGCGTTGTCGCCCTGCGTAGTCTCTGCCCTGACCGACGTATTTGGCAACGCTTTGTCCACCTCTCCGTTATCGACTACTGTAAAAGTATCCTGCTCGGTAGAGAACATGGCCTCTTGACTGGGCTCAATACGGATCGCGTGAGCCTCTCCAGGATAATTCAATGTCCCTTGGGGGCATGTCTTGCTTACGTTCTCAGTCCTCACCTGATCGCTGACATTTGATGACTGAATACAACTCATGTCAGGTCTGGCCACCCTGTCCTGGTCCTCCGTTTGCATGCCTGTGTCGCTCTTTCGTCAGACTTTTTCCTTCTAAGCACGATTCCTATTTCCTCCTCCTTGGGGCTCGAAGACCCTTCGCATACAAAGAAGACGCTGATGTACGTCCTGGCACACAAAAGTTCAAGGTAATAAACTAGTGGACGTAAGATATATTTGACGGAAGACCGGGTTCTTCTCTTGAACGTCCAGATTCCTAGTTTAGGTCGTCTACACTCCCGCGATCCACTTATAAGACACGTACGTAGCCACGTGACAAGGGCGTGATCCCTGTTCGCTTGAGACCTTTTACGGGCTGGCGCTTTCGTGGCCGTAAAGATCTTGTTATTACTGATTTCTGTGGGGAGTGGCTTCTGTGTCACGCATCAGCGCACACCTGATGGCTAAAAGAACGCCAAAGCAGTAGTACAAGCGGGCCAGAAGTGCACTCCTCTGGCTTTCTGGGTTTTGATTGGCTGATTGGGTGAGATTGACCTTGCGCTGATGCTTGAAACTGTTACGCCATCTCGTACTGGCGTTTATTCGAAAGTCACGTTCGAGGACGCGTGGGGTAGAGTTTAAGAAAGCAAACCCCCGGAACTATGACGGGTCTGACGGAACGGCCCAGGCCCAGTAGAATGACACTCGATTTTAAATTCTTTCCATTTCCTACGGTACCGCGTTACAGCGACGAACTGCTCAAAGTCTTCCGCTAAACTCAGAATAAGGTCCTAATTCCTCTCCGTCTTTAGCAATATTCAGACAGACCTCGGCGCTCTTCCCTCTCCCGTTTCATTCTCATTGGCCGTTTCGTTCCTGTCACTTGCCAACTGTACAGACCTAGTAATTTTTTACATCCAAATACATCAACTGCATCCCTCTTTTACTTTTTAAAGTCCTGATTGGTACGCCACCAGACAGAATGTTATTACCGACAAAGACAAGGGCAACCGGAATGGTTATTTCTGGTTTGTTAGCTGTCGTCAACCAGTCATGCCCAACCCCGACGTGTGTAACACCCGAGGCTCGAACTCGCGACCTGTTAGTTAGAAGTCCACGCCTTTACCCACTGGGCTACCAGATAACGACCTTTGATCACTCATTACCTACCTGCCTATAAGCTTAGTGTTAAGATTACCCACCCCCCACCTTAAATCATCGTTTAATCAACCCTCTTTACGTCTCCTTTGGCTATATTCATTCCGCATTCTTATTCTGCTTGGATTAAACGTCATTGTGTTCAGTTCAGTTGAATTAAAAGAAGGGTAGATGAGCGTCTTTGAACTTCCTATTGGTCACAATAACGTCGCGAAAACATCAATTCATAAAGAATGTGTGTAGTAAAATTATGAAACTTTAAATATACCTACGGATAAAGTACCTCAACCTACTGAAAAGTCGAGGTAGAAAACTAATTAGGTCATCGAAGGCAATTCTACCCTCTCGTCATTGGGCATTGCAGAGTAATAATTTAAAACATGTGCCTATCGTCACTGAATTCTCGAAGCTGCGCCTAACGAAGGATCGGTAAAAGTGAACAGAAAGGTGGGTTAGACAGGGGTATAAATACCCCCCCCCTCTATTATAAGCGGTCTTGAGCTAAATTTCAGACGGTTGTTTTCTACCGTGTCTAAACTTAACCACAGCGCCAACCCCTAACCCAAATCACCCTTGAATTTGGCATAAAGACGCTTGTGATACGGGAGAGGTGTCAAATCGAAAGTTGCGACGTCGATATATCGATTTTCTTCCATCACATCACACGCTGCGAAGGTTACCATTATCGCGTCCGCCGTAGTCGTAATTGGACGAAATTTATTTCGTAACATTGGGGATTTATTATTTGAGCTTGTACAATTCTTTGCCAGTGGATGGAGTCTGTCGAATAGGCATTTAGAATTTTTGTATTTACGCGCACTGATTGAGGAAACGATAGGTCACGGTGGAATGTAATTTTGGATGGATTTTGGAAAGTCTGTAGATGTTTGTGATTTGTTTTTCGAGAAGGACATAATTATATCTTTTTCTTCTGAGCATATAGTCACAACAAATGTGGGTGAATGCGACTAGTAGTGTGTCTGAGATCTCCTTTCTTGGACCCCAACCTTCATCCTCTATGTAAATGACAGCCTTCAGGAACTCAGCTGCGGTCAAATAATGTTCGCCGACGACGTTAAGAGTTAAGAAGTCATAAAGGGCCCGAATGACCAAAAGGCCATTTAAAATAATCTTCACCGACCGTAAACGTGCAACAAAACTGCTATAAGGTTTAAAAAACGGATTCCACGTAGAAAGACCGAACTTCCGTAATTTATTTTCCTTGTGTTACAGGCATCAAAGAGGGGATTTGATCCTGGTTTGCAAGACGGTACATGGTTTTGAACACGGACTGAGCTTCGAGGATATGTTTCGCCCAATATTCGTGAACAGTAGATGGAATTACACACAAAAATGTCAAGGCTAAACCTTCGCGAGGAATCTTGAGCGGAAAGAGGAGAAGATAAATGTAATGATCTCCCTCAATAAACCGTGAATGCAGAATTCCTGCAGATCTTCAAGAATTGCTTGAATAATTATTTGATCCCCTCTTTTCCTTCAGCGGTCTGAACCTGAGCTAAATACCCCGCGAACCCCAGACATTTAATTTTTTAAAAAAGATTCTACTTAACTCACGCGAGTACCATTTTAATAGCGACAAACTACATTGTGCGAACATGGGAGTACGCAACGAACTGCCATGTAAAAAATAGGGTTTTTAATGGCTTGGCTAATGCTTCTTGCCAAATAAAAGTAATCAGCGTATGTTGTACTGTTAATTTTAGTGCTTCGGCATTACGTTATTTTGAAACTATCTGTCCCTATCAATAATACCACAAAACGGCTGAAGCATTGACCAAAATCTGAAAATGCATTGTTTAACAAGATTACCGAGTGAGTGACAATGTCCCTTGGCGTATAAAAGCCTTCTAAGATATGTAGCACACAACAGGATGTAACAATTAAATTCAATTTTTCACACTCGCCTCTACGGTGGGGACATTTTTGTTCATTCTATCACGCATTTGACCGAGTACGCTTTATACAGTAGACTGCTTGTACTTAAGTATGACCTAGCGCATCGTAATGAATTTGCGATCGTCGATTTCGTCAGCCTTGCAAGTTCAGAGCCTCAGTCTCAAACAAGCAGTGCCTTAATATCCACAGTGGCCATTCAGGCTACCGGTAGAGGCTTACATCTGCTCGCTGATTGGTCGTCAGTAGGGTAATGGATGTGTCCACGATGCTAACAGCATCAATGCGTGCAAACGTAACTCAGATTTCTAAAGAAAGCCAAAAATCTCCGTCCAGTTTTGAGATGTATTAGGAAGCTCAGCATACTACGAAAGGGCAGGGTTTAGCGAGACAGATGGACAAAGAGAACAGACGCGATTTTGAGCAACTTATCAAACACAGAAGACGGAACAACTCGCAGAGGACTATCTTCCAGTCCCGTGAACGTTACCGAATCTAGATGCCAATTATTGATAAACAACGATGTTCCATATAAAAAAAGTAAACAAGACAAATGAACTAGATGAAATTTATTAATTTGAAGTATTCAGGTCAAGGTATAACTCGGAAAGGCAGACATCGAGCAAACTCATTCAGCCTTGATGTTGTTAATGTAGTCAGCGAGACGCTTGCGCAGACGTTGACGAACTAAAATTAAATGGATGATTTGATAATATAATCAGAATGACATACTTTCACGGATGATTTCCTTGGTCTTCACGATGTGTTTCGCGATCTTCTGTCCGAGGGGGTTGTTGTCGAAGTAGTCCTCAAGTGCGGCAATCGCGGCCACTCGACGGGCACGCAGGGCACGGATGGGGTTGGTCTGGTGCATCAACGAGATCTCTGCATTAGCATGTACTTAGCGTTGGGCATTGGAAACAACCTGACACCTCACTCCCCAGCAGACAGCCACTTATACCAAATGACTACTGCCGACCAATTATCTGATGATGAGCACAACAGAACTACATATAAACCTATTACTTGAAATGCCAAGAGCAAGGAAGTTAGGAATACAAGTTCACGCATTTGAAGTGCCGTCCCATCACCTGTTCCAGCTTCGCTTGATTCATGCTTCTGTCCACTGGTATGGTAGTATCTAGGGTCAGACGCCAATGACAGGTGTCTGACGTTTAAGATGTCTGCTGTTTAGGTAATCGGGTAGCCACTGAGAGGCCTGGGGCTGACAATCTCTACATCTGACCTGACCAATCAAACAGCTTGTTTGCTACGAGAACTCTTAGGCACAGGGACTGTTCGTGGGCATGTAATTCAGCAGCTGCAGTGACGACTTACCTCCCTTAAGGAGAAAGAGTGAGTGGTTAGATGGTGTTCAGAAGACAGGACTTACTCCTGAGCCGTGGCAACCACGACGACAGCCAGAAGCGTAAGAATGAGCATGCGCATTTTGGTAGGTGGAGGCAGGCGACGACTTCGAATTTGGTCGTGCTCGCAGCCACTTATATATGTGTGTGTGCTGATCCAGGGGTGCACCATTAATTGGATTCTGCACCGAATGGTTTATTAGTCAGGATGCACTCTTCAACTTCCGGCTTACGCACCCCCTCCACCTTTTTTTAATCAAAATACTATAAATGTGACAGTGCGTTGACTTGTGGCCGGAATCTGTCCCCACTCACACAGTGCCAAAATGAAGGTCTGCATCTTGGTCCTCCTTGCCGTCCTGGCTGTCGTCGTGGCCGCTGAAGAGTAGGTTCCAACTTTGACGGTTGTCATTTAACCAACTTTTCTTCCCCATCTAGTGAGGTAGGTCTGCATGCGTTCTTGGGCTGATGAAGGCACAGTCGGCTTTGTCTACGCATAAATGAAATTTTCATAAGGTTTTCGTGGGCGCCTTGACTGACAACTGTCCTTTGTGTCACTTTGTCTCTTTATCGCACATTAGAAACCCTCTGAGAACCTCAGGGTACGGCTGATGAAGAGAATTCTCGGTGTGCAGAGGTTCT